GTTTCCCCTCCTTGACCTCGTTACATCATATGGGGTTTTTGTCCAGGGAAGTATACCCTACACAGATGTGTCAGAAATCATGGAATCAAAAATGACAAAATTGCTGCTGACTCACGGGTGTTTTAAAATATTTAACAAACAACATATAGCTGCATGCTAAATGGTTAACACCCTTCCCTGATGGTTTTGCAATCCCATACTTACTTGTAGCTATATCACACTGAAACTCCAGGTTCCAGTGATTCCATACTAACACTAAAAATACATTATAGCAGTGTTCATTTAAGGTTTTTTAAACAAGCTTCAACAACCATAATACATGTGGTTCTCTTGAATAATGTCAACACTAAGTCCTACTTCCCCCCATAAAGCATAAATGGAAACCAGAGCTTGACTCACAGTTGGTTCTGATGGATATTTTGATGTATAAAACACAAAATATTGATAAAGCTGAGAAGAAAAATATATATTTTTACTTCTTTCTTTAGGGAGGAGTTAAATAAAAAAAGATATACCATATTATAAATACACAGGAATACTCCTGAGAATCAAGGAGGCAGTATGTTCGGCTAGCATATTAAAACCACTTGAATATATTTAAAAACCAAGGAAGAATTTCAAAATTTGCAAAATTAACTAAAAACCAATTAATAGTCACATAATATTATATAAACTATACATAGCTATAATTTTAGTCAGATGATGCAGAGAATGTACTTTTTAAACTTAATTGAAACAATGAAATTGACACAAGAATAACATATATCTCATAGTAAAAACTCAACTATATCATTTTTAAAAAGCCAGCAAGGCCCTCCCTGGTGGCGCAGCGGGTTAAAGCACTGCACTGAGAAGCTAAAGCCACTTCCGCATGAGTTCGATCCCCGCCTGCCCCGGAGGTGACCACATGGCGTGGCAGACCTCTCCTGACCCGCCCGCTGCTTCCCTCAGCAGTGTACTTCGTCCATCTGCCTGTTCTGCTCCCCACTCTGTCTCTGGTGAAGCCTCTTACCGCCCCTGAGCCTCTGGCCTGTACCCCAGTTCTGTATGTACAAATAAATAAATCTTTAAAAAAAAAAAAAAAAAGCCAGCAAAAGGCAAATGAATAGACAGAGGAGACTGGTGAAGGGAGTCATCATTTGTCAGTGTTTAGGTCTTGTTTGAGAGATAAACCTAATATTGATCAGGGCAGAGGTTATGAGTTTGAGTAACTAGCCTCCCTTGGCAACATTTCTATGAATACCCCCAACAAAGTGCAAAACATAATTACCACCATAATTTTAGGCTTCTTCATCCCTTGCAAACATTTAAGGGAAATGTTAAACGTCACTGTGATGGATGTTTTTATAACATACCACAATGTACATAGCTAAATGCGTGTGGTTCTCTTCATATCATCTTTGTGGGTTTTTCAGCATATAATACTGTAATAAAGGTTCCCTTACTAAAAGTACTTATGTATTTCTTCATCAGAAAATTTCTCTTGAATTTGCAATATATTATGGAATAATAATGTCTACACTTAAGTAGCAATTGGCTGTTAACAAACCAAACTATGCTGAAAAGTCTTTATACTTACAAGGTAGATTTGATTTTGAGATACAGTCAAAAGTCACCTAGAAGCACATATGAGCATCCTGGGTATCATAATCAAAGCAAGCTATAATAATAAAATGACTATAAAGTCATGAAGCTACTATACATTTATGAGAAGAAATTTATATACTGCTTAAAGATATTTACATATGAGAGATCCAAAACTATTATGATCAAAGGGAGAACTTTGCAGTAAAAGTCTGGTTTTCTATAATGGCTATTTTTAACTATCATATCCATTCCGAGATATAAATTCGGGTGCACTTATTTAAAAAAAACTCATTACAGGCCCTTCCTGGTGGTGCAGTAGGTTGAAGCACAGAACTGGGAAGCTAAAAGCTACTTCAGCATGAGTTCAATCCCTGCCCCAGAGGTGATCCACATGGTGTGGCAGACCTCTCCTGACCGGCCCACTGCTCCCCTCAGCAGTGTACTTTTGTCAGTAGGCCTGTTCTGCTCTCCTCTCTATCTCTGAATCCTTTCACCATCTCTGAGTCTCTGGCCTGTACCCCAGCTCTGTAAGCATAAATAAATAAATCTTTTTTAAAAAGGCTCATTACTTTGTGTTTAATAATTTTAAAAGTGTCTTAAATTATCTTATTAGCCTGACTTACAGTATGCAATTCTTTGCTGAATTCCTACCTTCTATCTTAACATTAATTATTCTTTGCTCTTACTTGAGACTTATCTTTAGAGAATACTTGGGACCTCAATATCCAGTCCTATATAGCATTGTACACTTGTACTCTATGCATCTCATACAATTTTTCAAGTGTAGCTCTGGACTTCTGGTTAAATACCATGCCCAAATTCCAATTGTTTCATGGTTTGATATACATTCTAATAACTGAAGAGAATAATAAAAAGTAGGGCATGAAACTGACTACCATACAGGTTATTAGAAAATGTAAACTTGGAAAACTGCTTAAAATCAAGGAGCACAATCTCTGTTGATAAACATTTGTAAGTCAATACCACTAGCACATGAAACAAATGCTATGCAAATAGCTATCATGTTAAAGTTTTAAAACATCTTCCTAATGCATAAGTTTTAAATTAATGTACTTGTCTTCCATGATATGAAAGTTTATCTGCAGTGAAGTTTAAGATTAAGTTTGTAAATCTTACAAACTTACTTATATAAGTTTATTTTTACATAAGCAGTCTGACAGTTCAGTTGTCTTTCAAATTTTATACTGGAAGTGAAACCTAAGCAAATTTAAGAAAACATTTAAATTTTCATAATCTAAATTATCTTCAGTTGCTAAGAGCAGTTATACTTCTCTTCATTAGAAGATATATTTACAATTTGCAATGCATTTTTTTGAATGATAATACCTAAATTCAAGTGTCACCTGATTGCTCACAAATTATACTGAAAAACCTTATACTTTTAAGGAGGTTTTGATTTCAAGATATATTGGTCAGGACAGACAACTTTATAATTCAACTTTACTCCTTTATGAAACTGAAGGGATCATATTCAGTAAGCTAAATTCTAAGGTACTAAACAACATGTGATGCGAGTATATGAATTTATTTGGAATTTATTTATGTGAGAAAGTCATGTTAGGTAAGCTATTACCTAAGCTAAATTTTCATAAGATCCTATTTTAAAGACTTTAAAGGTCAAATTTTAAAGACCAGACCCCACAAACACAGAGAGGTTAATGGACTTGCCTTGGGTCACACAGGTACTAGGTAGCAAGTCCAGAATTTGAATCAAAACACTCTGGATCTAAAGACTCTTTCTTGGCCATTAAGCATTACAGTCTAGCCTGCTACAGAAATTCTGCAAAGTTCTTTTTCTCTTAGAATTACAACCCAGAGGAAGTTTCTAATAAATGGTACTTTAAGCAGCCGTCAGTTCCTATAAATAGTAGGAGTTTAAGTTTTTTTTTTTATAGACCTATTCTTAGAACAACTCATTATGAAATAGTTTGGAGAACAGGAATAAGTACACTCTTAACAAACTTAGTAGTTGTTAAATACCTTTTTTAAATAAACCAACCTGAAAGTGTTTTTTAAACTATATTAAATTTAGAAGATGAGCTGCTTTAAAAAGAAAGTACTTTGATAGATCGATAATGATCTAATTTAAATAAACAATATGCCACCTTAGATATACTTAGCATTTATAAGTAGCTATGGAATATTCATTCTTCTGAAAACTATACTTAAAGTGATTCACATTTACGTTCCCCCCAGCACTCTGCTAAAGATTTACAATTTATGTCAATTCACATTGATAGTTCAACAGATAATCCAACTTTTATAGATGGAGTAACATGAGGTGTTTTAGCCATCAACACAAAAGGTGATCCCAAAGAGCAAAGACTTGCATCCACCGGCAGGAGCTCTCCTGCAATGGCCAATGGCCTCTCCTTAGCACCTGAGGTCCAGGTTTACTGAACATGAATAAAACATAGAAAGATGTGAAAGCAGTCCCATTTTACACATATACATGGGAATATTTATGTTTTTTCTGATACCCAAGTATGCTGATTCATTAGATCACTATGAGTCAAGCGATATCACAAGAGAGAGCTGTACCTATTCATTCATTCACATAACAAGAACAAAGTAGATACAGTATCCAAAGGAAACTTCAAATATGAAATGCTGCATCTAATAACACTTTGCCAAAAACTGAAGTTAGACTCTAATTTTAGAATCTCATTAGATTGTTTGCAAGCTTTTATGTCTCAACACATGCAAAGTAGGGTAAAAGCGCAATTAATAAATGTCAATTGGATATAACTTCAGAATCTATTCTTATGGTTTCACATTTCCATGATAATTTTGATATCCCTCTTTAAACTTATACCTGGTAGAAATGGATTTTCTTTTAAATAGATGTTTGTTTCCATTTGTAAAAAGGAAGATTGATTTTTGACATACATTAGTTAGATTTAATCAGTAGTATAACAATAAAAACTGTAGTTAACACACAAATTGCCCACTTCACCCCTCTCCATAAAAAGCTCAACATTCGATCAAATGTTTCCTGGGCACCTATTACATGCAGGCCTGGCAATTGGTGTATGTGTGCCCAGAAGCCTTCTGAGGAGATGGCACAAAGGGGAGCTCAAACAGCATGGAACTGTTGTCATTAACGAGTTTATAACCAATACATTTCTTAGAAAAATCCAAGAAAACAACTGCACAGCAGCAATTTGAATCTTTGAGAGTATGACTATTCAAATTGGCTTCCTTTTTTTCTTTTCTAAACGTTTTTATTTACAAAAATTCACCTTCTCTTCCTTAACCATAACTGATAGGGCATCTTAAAAAAAAAAAAAAAAAAACAAACTAGTACTCTTTCCCCAAAACCTAGCTCATAAGCAGGCCCTCCTCTTTCCAGGGCACGTGTCTTTCCACAGCTCGGCTGGACACCCTCTCACCTGAAAAAAAGTTTGGAGATGACGCTGGCCTTTTCCAGAGGCGACCTCTGCATGGTCTCTGGGGGAACCCGGGTCCCTGCTGGGGCGGGCTGGGCTCTTGAGCTCCTAAAGCCAAACTCCCTACTCTTCTCTGTGCCTGCCGCTCGCCCCTTTTTCTTTGACCTGCCGTGATGTCATTTGCTCATAACTAAACCCACCCACCCCTATTCCATACACCTCCCCTTTCCTTGTGCTTCTTCCCCGCCTCCACAGCCCAGGTTAAAAGCCGGGCGCAGCCTGGTCCGGCCGCAATTTTGCTCTAGCGGCTTTCTCCACCCCCTCCGCACCTCCCGCCCGCACCCCAACAGCTCCTTCCCTCCCTTTTCAGATTCCGACTCCTTAGTTTTCCTCTCTCACGCGCACTCCTTCCAGGTCCGCGTTCTTACCGTTCAGCCTGGCCCAGCCCGCAGGTGGGGGACAGTCACGGCCGCGAGCCCAGGTACAGTTTTCGACGACCTAGGGCTGGAGTCACCCGCCCGAGCAGAACCAGCCCCGGGGGTGCGGGGGGTTGGGGAAGGTGGAGAGGCGCCGGATTCTCCTCGCGCCGGGAGCACGCTGCCGCAGACTTCCCGGAGCCTTCCTCCTCCCTTTCGCAGAGATTCTGGTCGAACGTTCGCCAGATGCATTTTGAAAGGGAATGAAAATAAGTCTCCCGCGTCAAAACGAAGCTTTAGCGAGCCAGAAAGTTCCGACGCCCGAGTGCGCTGTGCTCTCTGTAGCGCTTCCTTTGAGCGTAGGAGGAAGAACCAAGCTATGTTACTTTCAATCTTAGGCAAAATGCGAGTATGGCATACACGAATTTGTGGTGGTAAAAACCTACAGAGGCAAGATATGTCATTGCTTTCTCCATTACCCGCGCAGGATTTTACCATTATCTGTCCTAAGATTTTCAGTCTGGCTTGAGTTTTTAAGCAAGGCTTTAGCCCGTGTTATTGACTATGACAGGTGAACAGTGTGTAAACTAACCCGCCCTCCTATACATTTCCTAGTCTCGTTAGGCAAAACATCTTGACTAATACACCGCAAGGAATCCAGACTGCCTTTGACGTGAAGAAAGCCTGTTAACTCTAACCTGACTAAGAGAAACGCCATCTTCAATCTCTGAAGACATCTAAGATTTTTCAGGTGTGAGCACCTTTGTTTCTGAGCTTTTGGTTTATGAATTGTGGGCTGGTGTGATTCTTAGAGTCAAGCTTTTAGTCTACTGTGTAAAGGCTAGTGCACATTGAGTTTAAATTGAAAATTTCAGATGAAAGTAAAAATTTTAAGTCTGACTACCTTACTGCCTCAGTCAAGGCAGATACTCGTAAATTTCCTGGTTGTTGACTTATGATCACCCAAATAAAGCACAAATAAAATGTGCATTTCATAACAGAAAGACATGTATATAATGAATTCATTCAGTAGGCTTTTATACCTCTTTGCATTTCAACTTTCCCCTTTTTTTCTATCTTTATGTAAGCTTCATAAAAACATGAGTTTTACTATCCTAAAGTTTAATGGTACAGAAATTTAGAGCAAAGAGATAAGCCAAACTGCAAAGTTAGCTACTAGGAAAGAACATCAGTTTTCTAACTCAGGATCCATTGCTTCAAATCCTGTCCCATGTTTTCCTCCCTCCAGTATGACATAAAATTTGAAGCTCAGTCTTCATTATTGACTTTTCCCAAGTATGTGATTAAACCCACTCCATCCACTTCCCCACCGCCCTTCCACTGTTTGATTTCTAACCGCTAGAGTGAGCTAGCAGAAATAATACACATATTTTGAAATAAACTGGCAATCAGTTCCTCTCTTATCAGAGAATAAGTGACAATAAAGGGATAAAGAACTAAGTTCCAAAGAAGTTCACAAAAGCTGGTCAGATGATGTGGTGTGAAGAAACACCAAACATTTGTCAACCTCCTTTTGGAAAGCTTAAATAAAAGTCACTTTTTGTTTTTAATCATAGTATTCCAGGCATCACCTGATTCTCATACAAACCTTATTACAACAGGTAGTTGATATTATTTTCCCAATTTTTCACTTAAGTAAATTGGCCAGGAAGTTAAGTTAATGCCTATGATGGTAGAAAAAAAAATCAGATTCAGGTCTAACTCTAAACTGTTACTACTGTTTGTAATACTGCTTCTAATAAAATCATCCCTCACATATTTATACACTATCACTTAATTGTCTTCTCGCATTAGTTCCATGAAATTGTAACTGCTAGACTTGTTCAAGAATGAGACCAAAAGAAAAATGTATAAACTATGCGCTACTGCAGTTACATATTTTTAATAAACAACACTTAGTTATACATTCATTATAAGCACATGTAGGTACACATACAAAAGAACACCCTGTATTTGTATCATTAAAGATTATACACCCAACTTTGTCTTTGCTTTGGTAAGACATCACCATTATTCAGAAAGTTAACGCTCTTAGCAGACATGAATAAGTCAACTAACTGAGACCTAACTAACGTTCAAGATTTGCCCACAATGGACTCCTGATGGGATTCGGGAATGTGCCTCAGGAAAGCCAAGCACATGGTTGGTGGTCTAGGCTGAAATCCTAAATGCAGCTTTGAAATGTTTAGGAAGAGCACATAGAACAGGCCAGAATGGTAATTGGAGGTAGTAATGATAAACAATGAAGCTATTATCTATAAGCTATTCAAACCTAAGTCATAAAATCTTATAATAGCCTACATTTTTGAATACTTAACCGTTATGTCAGGCACCATGCAAAGAATACACTTTTCAACACCTTTGTGGGACAGATGACTTTACATTACCCACATATTAAGCTAAGAAACAGAGGTATAGAATATTTAGTAATTCCAATGTGAAACTAATATAAGAGAAAACTGATATTTGAACCTAACTATCTTATTACCTGAAGGCTCCCCTTCAAAATTTCCCAATTTAGCGGATGTTTATAAATATAGATGATTAGGTGGCCATCTGTGTAGATTTTTATAAATTGTAATGAAATATACACAAGATTTACCATCTTAATCGTTTTCAGTGTAAAGTGCAGTAATATTAGATACCCTCCATTGCTTATGTACCCACCACCATCATCCATCCTCATAACTCTTTTCATCTTTATAACAGAGCCACATACCCAATACAGAGTAACTCCTTACTCTCCCCAAGCCCCCACGCCCAGCAACCATCATTACACTTTATGATTTTTGACTACTCATAAGTACCTCACATTAGTAGACAGTATTTTTTCTTTTTGAAACTGGCTTATTTCACTTAGCCTAAAGTCCCAAGTTTGGACTACATTACACAATTTCTTTCCTTTTTTGAGACTGTACACTAAATAGTTAAGTTTGTGTGTGTATGTGTATACATACCACATTTTGCTTATCCACTAATCTATAGTTGGACAACTGACTTTTAACTATTATAACTAATGCTTCTATGTACATGGGTATATAATTGTGTGGCATCATTTATTTAGTACCTACTGTGTGTTCAGCAATGTGCCATGTGCTTCTTCAAATGCTCTCAAATATATAAAAGCTTATGAACCAAACTGTCCTATATTACTCACTGTCAGATGACTGAAGGTTCACCAGTAAATATCATGAGAGCAAAATTGCATGTTTCACTTGTGTAGCATGTTCAATTTCAATTTGTGTGTTCCTCAGCTTCTTTCCTAAGAATGGGCTTTAAAAGTGACAAGCAGACAGTAACCAAGTTGGTACTAAAAAGTCAGAGGAAACAAAAAATCATCCCCATAACAAAGAAAAGCTCTTCAGAAAAGAAAGGCAAGACTTTTATCTGTTTCATGTACACAGGCTGTTTTTTGTTTGTTTGTTTGTTTGTTTGTTTGTTTGTTTGTTTGTTTGTTTCAGGCTGGTTTTGCTTATAAAAATATTTAAGCTACAAGGGTAAGAACAGCAAAGGCATTTACACAGCACAATATTTGATGCCGTGCAAATACACATTATGATCTTAGAAATAGGCCCAAAGATAAGTGTCCTGGTATGTGAGTAGGCCACATTATCATTACTTTTACTGCATCCAAAGCTATGCTTTCTCTGACATTTGTTTATGAAACATATATGGAGACATTATTTATATACACATATAACCTTTCTCTGTAATTTCCTTGATGACAGGAGTTTTGTCTGCTTTCTTTTCAACTTATTTCATGTTTCATAAACAATTATCAGACGAGTTTATATGAACAATAATTTTTCTCTTGGAGTTACCAACCTAACAGTTTAAATGTCATCCTAAATTAGAAGTCTGAAGATGCTCAAGATAGAAAACATTAACTTTTCTGTTAGCAGGAACATGGTGCTGAAGCCGGTAGGTATACAAAATAAGGCAGGTTGTCCATTGCTCAAGACAGAATCTTCTATCAAAGTTATCAAAGTTCCCTGAAGGTTTCAGAGGACATTGGAGAGTTTGAGTTTGAGGCAATGTAGAGTCTGATTTTGATTCTGGCATCACTACTTTACTTAACTGGAATTGGGTAAGTTACTTAACCATTGTGTCTCATTTTCCTTTCTGATAATGAGATTAATAAGACCCACCTTATAGGGTTGTTGAAAAGTCAAGGTATCTCTATCTTAGCACCAGTGACATTTGGAGTTAAATAATTCTTTGATGGTAGAGGGTGGGGTGTCTTGTGCATTGTAGATTTCTAGCTTCTAGCCACAGAATACCAATAAAACAACACACCTCTCCTCCAATTAAAACAATCTGTAAAGTGGCACTGAGTTGAGAACCACTGGATGAAGTCAAATGTAATGCATATAGAAATCAAATGTAATGCATATTAACAAACAAAAAAGTGTTTAGTACCTAACAAGCACTCTATAAACTTCAGATATCTACTACATATCACTGGTGATAAATCAGAAATCAGTGTAATGCAAATAAAGTATTACAGAAAACTGAATTTCTTAAATACTGTCAAATTCTCAGGAACACTGGACTCTCGCATACCCTCTGAAGTTATTTGTATTTGACCTAGATGTAAAGGGAGAACTCCCAGTATCTTT